AATAAACAGAGAGGCAAAGAAGTTTTGTGGATCTGATAGACCGAGATTGAGCATCCGTGCGATGCTGGAAGGAAATTGTAAATATTGGACAAAGTTGTTCCTTACTTTCGGGTGCGAGTTAGTCGCCACTATTAGAAATTAGTAATTGTTATGAAAGATTTGCTTGGTACCGATACAGTTTGATAGAGCAAGTCGAAAGACAAGCGAATGCAAATTGAAAAGCACACGACGATTAAAAATGTTTAAAATATTTGGAAAAACAAAAAAAGAAAACCGATAGGATACGGTGGGAAACGCGAAATAAATGTCGGAATTAAAAATTCACCATCCTCCTCGGACAAACCGGACGTATATTAACAAACAATGTATATCGTAAACTCGATATTGCGAAACACAGTTAAAAAACAATATCCACTCCGCCCTGAAAGCCCCGTAGCATCGCTCCAACACTCTCTCATCATCGCTTACGCATTAAATTCATATCATGGATATCATGGAAATCATGGAAACTACGTCCACCACACGCGGACTAATCTCTCTCTCTCTCTCTCGTTACAAATTTGCACGAGGGAAAAATGGCATTTGTAACAGCAATAGGCAACTGTAGGACCCCTGATTTGCCGTTTAAATCTGCGCTAGATCCGGAGGAGGGCGGCACGGGGGGGAAAAAAGTCTGTTTTCTTTGCTATCATGGCGTTCGCGCGCATAAATGCGTAACGTACGCGCTTAACACGCGCGTGTGGTAAGTACTGCGAGCCTTTCTCCCTATCTCTCTCTCTCTCTCTCTCTCTCTCTCTCTCTTCTTCCTCCTCTCTCTTTTACGGGGGACTCCATAATGTAAGTTCATCGCGGGCGCGCTGATGCGTGTGTAATCCCGTGGTGCTTACCGATACCATCGTGGGTTTTATTTTCATTATTCATTTGTTCGGCCCGTTCCCCATGGACGGCCGGCAGGCTTACACGCGTAACCCCGTGTTTCTATGTTGCTTTAATCAGATAAAACCCCGGAACGCCAAAAAATCGCCGCACACTAAACCAGCAGCCCCTAGAGCTAGGTCCTACTCTTTTCTTCCGTTCGCCAAAACGGCGGCCGGCCATGATTTTCGACCCTCGAACAACCCGTGTCTTGTCGCGTTCTCGCTTCTGTCGATCGACTATCGGCTATCGTCCCATCAAGCATTCTCCTAACGTCCATCGTTTCCTTTCCAACTCACATTTTCGCATTCCGTTTCACTTCCAAACGATATTTGTTTCAATTTCTTTTCTTTTTCCTGTTCTCTTTTTATGCGAATATTTGTTACTCGCGTGAAGCTTGTTGAAAATTCAGGTCGTTTTGGTATATCCTCGGAAGAGATAGATGGAACTATATAATACAGAAGAATAGTATTATACCATTGGGAATTTTAATTAGACCACGGAAGTAATATTCATTTTGTCGAAAGTCGCGGCGCGCTGAAAATCTAACGACTGAAAACTCCGCGGAAAGCGAAGACGATTAATCATAGCACAGAACTCATAATTCTTTCTTTCACGTTTCGCAGTCTTACGTCTACGCGTTCCGCTTATCTTGTTTGCAATCCAATCGTCTATGATTGATGAAGTGAAAGAAGAAGTATATCGCGCGCAAATTAAACGCGAACGATCAGTCAGTGTACGTGAAATGAGCACAAATCTCTCGGGCTCTGAAACTTCTCAAAAACCTCTGTTATTTCTCGCATAAAGCCTCTTGTATTTCTCTGTTATTTCTCGATATTCGTATATAAAATAATATTAAAATAAATATAAATAATATTCAAAATAATATCATTAGAAATGATATTAAAATAAATATAAAATAATATTAAAATAAATATAATAATATTAAAAATAATATTTCTCGCATAAAGCCTCTGTTATTCTCTGTTATTTCTCGATATTCGTATATAAAATAATATTAAAATAAATATAAATAATATTAAAAATAATATTAAAATAAATATAATATTTAAATAAATATAAAATAATATTAAAATAAATATAATAATATTAAAAATAATATTATTAGAAATAATATTTCTTGCATAAAACCTTTGTTATTCTCTGTTATTTCTCGATATTCGTATATAAAAAAGGGGGGTGGGGGAACGATCGTCGAATCGAGAAAATTCACGAGTCTTTCGCGAATTGATCCAGACGACGGAGACGGAGAACGGTGAAACGAATAAAAACGAAAATTACGCCAGCGGGGGAGAGATCGGGATCTCTCTGCTCGGTTTTTCGAAGCTGCGCCGGATTCGAAGCCGTCGCGGGCAGCTCCTTTTTTTTTCCGCGTTTCCGGTGGCCTCGGGCCGCTTCAAACAGTAGGCGGAATGTCGGAGGAAACGGGAGGCCGGCGGGAAACGAGAGGAGAAAGGAAACGGGGGGCGAACTATCGGAGGTACGGTAATTAGCAGGTCAGCTTAGTTAATGCAAGAGCACCGGCTTAACGAATCGTAATGGAAAGTGTGATATTTCGAAAATACGTTTCACCGAGTGCTAAGTAAGCCGTGGCACGCGTTTGATTAACCCTCTATATACATTCGTGATTCAATGTCGAATAAAATGGAATCGAAGGAATCGTTTAATCCCTCAACGATCGATCGGCCGTCCCCTTTTTCCTTCCTCTGAATTTATCCTCTCTTTGCCATCTACCTCAACCCGTGGCATCCTTGTGCTCGTTCTCAGACGATCCACTGTCTTGTTTATTGTCGTTCTTTATCAATTTGACACTTTAACAATTTGGCAAGTGAGAATTACAGACAAGTACGAATTGCGGTGAAACTTTAATGTTCGAAACATTATTATTGACGTGGCTAATCGTACGAAAATTTAAAGAGAGATGGTGAGTGCAATCTGAGATAGATTTCTACAATTTATGAACCAGTCAACGACTGTTCATATTCTGAGTATACATTAGTTCCTGCGTATCTGTACAAAATAATATACATTTATATTAGAAATATGGATAACTGATCGCGAAAAATAATACATAATACGTTTAATACAAAAAAAAGTATTAGCAAGATTTTCAACTTCCTTTATCCACGACACCGTCCCGCTGCCCAACCAATTTTGTTTTTCTTTGCCTCTTCCTCTCTCCCGGGTTTCTTCTTCCCTTCTTTTTCTTTTTTTTTTTTTTTTTTTTTTTTTCCATCGAAAATATCGGCAGGCCTATCGAGGCGTCTTAAGGGAGGATCTCGTATTTACTTGGCCGGAAACACGATATTCTCGATAGCCGGGGACCACGGCTGCCCACGTGTTTCATCGTTGACCGTTAAAATTCGCTTCTCCGCGCTCTGCTCGCGACGTGCCGTGGCCTCCGCCACGCTGGTAGGCGGTGTATTATTTTTCCGCTGGCTCGCCAAATTGGCTCGCACGGATTCGATCTCGAATTACGGACACTCGATATCGCCGCGTAAAACTTGCAGCATCCTCGCCCGGTCCCGACCAGTGAGGCCATCTCGTTCCGGAATATCCAAAAACGAGTTCCACAATGTTCCCATTGAGCACGGATCGGTATAATCGAGTCGAGGCCCCTCTCGTCTTGCCTTTCGCCCGATCGAACCACCCGGTAAAACTCGGTTCGGTCGATTTTCGCGCGGCTGTCGTTAGAAACGTTCCGCAAACTCTTCTTTATTTCTTTGTTTCTTTAGTGAGTTCAAAGAGGGTGGGTTTAGTGAACGTGTTTTGCTGTGTTTCTCGTTCTCATCTTCTTTCGTCAGGCAGTGTAGGATCTGCGGCAACGTAACATGAATGTGAAATTTTATCAATATCGGAGTGTATACGTTTCGGTAAACAAAAGTTAATTAGTTAAAAAAAGAATCTTTATCCGCGCGCAGTATCACTTGTAAATAAAAGCGAATTTTTGACCTACCTACTATCAGCGTGAAACTATAATAATTTACACGCAGCGTTGAAATATACAAAGTCAGAATTTTCCACGATTTTTTGACTTTCCTGTTTCGTATCTCTTCGAGATGCTCGTTCAGTCGACATTCAAATTGTGATCTTCAAATTGAGAAAATTCGTGGATCGTTGTTGGTTAAAGTGAGATTCAATTAGAATTACAGAATGAATTACGAATTCATCAATCGATTTACATTGTCGGAATAAAGAGATTTTGTGAAATTCGAGAGCGTCAAAATTGGCGACACACGTCACGATTTTCTCATTGACCAGACTTCCCTCGGCGTAATGTATTCTTCCATATGGAAGGCTCTCGGTCCGTGGTCGTAACCCAATAGGCTTCCCGTAGGAAGATCATACTTCGGTACAAAGGCTGATCGCTACATCGCACGCGATCACGATGCACGTCATGGAAACTGACGATCTTCATAGCACCATTTGCCTCGCTCGTCCTCTGCCTCGCCAATATCGCACTCGCTTTTGGAACAAAGTGCACGTCTCGAACACACTTTCTGTATTAACAAGATGAACCATGATGTCGTCGAATCTTCACTTCGTTCATAATTTGTGCAACAAACCGTACCGATCGCCTCTCCATCCTTTTGTTCCCTCGTTTAAACTACGTAACACATTAGTGTCAATTCTTACGTTTGGAAATTTTCGCATTTTGAATATTTTCACATTAATCAATAAACTCGACTGAATCTAAAACTACCGTTTCCTAGACGCGGGATCTCTATACGAAAACGGAACAGACCGTGCAACTCGTTTTTTTTTCTTTTTTTTTTTGCTCTAATTCTGACTTCGAAAAAAGAAAGAGAAAAAAAGATACACAGATATTCTTCGGCTCGAATTGGTCGCAAAGGGAAGAATTTCAATTAATGTTCGAACGAAAAAGGAAGATAGGCGAATTCGTCGATGCGTGGAATCGTGGTGGAGCGCGCGGATCTTTCAGAGGAAATGAGCCATCGACTGCTTTGTATCCATTCTCTTTTGTACCGCGGACATTCCGTTTCGAAATCGATGAGAAGAGGTGTGTGCGGTGGGTAAAGGGTTTCGAAAAACACGACGATACGTGTGCCGACAAAAAAGACGTTTTATTCGATTCACAAAGAAGTCCCACATTGTTGATCGTGCCACTCCAGACGATGCTCAAGCACTCGAGGTTGCTACGGTGTTTCGAGGTTCAAGGGATGCGCCAGAGTCGGTCTGTTACGCTGCCCTCCTGCCTCCTGTATTTACGGCTCGTTTTTCCGCGTTTCGACGCGTGGCGACTCGGCACAAAGCCTATTGATGCCCACCCGCTGTACAATGTTACTCGTTAAATCTATTTATATATGAAGACATGGTTAATTCATCCCGCCGGCTCGTGTGTCTGCCGCTGTACGTAGAAAGTGTATAGAAAATTAGCCGTACAGGATGTCCCAAAATTGGCGACGCGAACGCTCGTTCGACGATCGATGAAATTTCCCATCGGGCAACGAGAAACAAGTTAACAGGTTAATCGATGAAAGTTCGCGAACTTTCACGCCGCGATATCGATATCTGCGCAGAGAGTTCAAAACGTCAACAATTCACACTTCAACGCCTCCGAACTGATATCTTCCCTTGCCGATTAGATTAACTTCTGGTATTGTACGAGTAGACAGAAGATGCTTCTTCGCGCAAAAATAAATCAAGTGCGAAGTTTCATACGTATGCATTTGATAGTGCGTATGTAGCTAAAGTGGTCACTGATATAATCTTGCTCTTTTTATACATAAAACTGTGCAGACGTATTTTACAATTAATTATTACAGTACATCTTACAGTCAGCCACAACGGCAAAATCGATTTTCTTTGGTTACAAAAATTTCCTACACTTTTAATTTATTTCTGCGCAAAAGATCACCTCGGTTTCAACAATATTTTCGATCATTGGAATTTCGACTTTCTAATTTTGAAACATCCTACACGTTAGTCTGCACGAAACTCGGCACGATTCAGACTCAGTTCCTAACCCATCGGTTTGTTTCCACAAATTGAGAAACTATCGTTTATATTCTAAGCTAATACATTTCTAAAAATTTTGCTCTTTCGCGTTCGTTCGTTCACTCCTCGTTCCGTTCGTTGACCGCCAGAATTCTCACCAAATCGTTCGACGACTCGTCGACGTTCGTGTAGGTGACCGTGTCCCGGTTCTTCCGCCTGATGTCCCAGCGACCCAGCGATCGTCTCAGCAGGAAGAAGCCCACGGCCATGGTAATTGCCACGACTAGTATAAAAACGGAGGCCCACAGTATTGGATGGAACATCGATCCATCGTCTTCGCATTCGAGTTCGTAACTTGGTATCTCGTTTAGTTGTTTGTTCGCGTGCTGCTTTGGAGTTCTGCATCTGATTGAGCAAATTATACGTATTATATTATACGACAGAACGCCATTCATCGAAATGAAATTTTAATTAAACTTCGACTAGTCGAGCTCTTGCCGATTGAATCCGCTAATCAAAACGTTGATTGCCAATACGTGAACGAAAAATGATAGGTAATGGGGAAAATTGGGGGACTTCTATTACGCGAACACCTCGGTTATATCCCTTGATGAATTCGGATAAGTAGAGCCCTGTTATAGTAACGAGAAATATTCTTTCCTTTGAGAGTTAAATTAAGCAAGGATAAGAAGTTACAAATTACCCGTGTGAATGTATTAAAATTTGAAATGAAAAAATAATTTTAGTAATGGCGGAGACATCTATGCTAAAGCCGCGGAAACCACTGGAACCAATTGAAATTATCGATCGTTGCGATCCCGATGAAAAATTTATACAGAGCGGAGAATTTTTACTCACTTGATTTGTCGGCTGATAAGCTTTGTAGCATTTGACGTACTTAGCCACTGCATTTTGCAGTCGCAGTGCCAAGGATTGTCCTCCAGATTCAAAATCGGCGTTCTCTTTATTATCGACAGAAGGCTATGGGACAAAGTTCTTAGTCCGCAGTTCCTCACCGAGAGTCGTTGCAGTCGTGGCAAAATATGGTCGTTAAACGGACTCATTTTAAAAAACGTCAGTGCCTTTGATCCGTCCAAGGATAATGTTTCCAGACTGGTCAAGTTTTCGAAGTCATTGAGTAACAATTCTGTTAAATTTTTCATGCTGTTCAGTTTCAATTCTCGCAACCCGGGTAAAGAAATGCCTCGTAATCGTGACACGTGAGTGTTGGATAAGTCGAGCTCTTCTAGATTAGCTGGCAGCAACGGAATCACGCTGATGGGATTTTCTGATAAATCTAGGGTAGATAAGTTGGTCAGCGTTTTGAAAAACTCCGAGGAGAAATACGACGACGACACGTTGCTCAGATTCAAATATCGCAGCGCCTTCAAGTTCCAGAAAGCGTTTTCATGAATTCCGTTGTTGATCGGATTGTTGGCCAACGTAAGGTATTCCAAAACCTAGAAAAAAGATACGAGTTATTTACAGTATGTTCATTTTTTTTCTGCCTTTCGATATATTGCAAAGTGCAATTGCAATTACTTTGAAATGCTCGAGCATAGTCTCGTTAACAATCGATAGTCTATTCCACGAGAGATCGAGTATCTTGAGCTTCGGAATTCGGTCGTTGAAGGCATTGTCATCGATGTATTCAAGCTTATTGTGACTGACGTTCAACACTTGCAAATTGTACTCGTCCTTGCAGAGAAAGAAGAACCTTTGAAGATGATTCTGCGACAAGTCCAGAGTTCTCAGATTCGCGAGGTTCGTAGAACAATCGAGAAAACTGTCGAATTCATTCTTCTGTAGAATAAGATCGGTGATTTCTTGCAGATTCATCTGCGTTTGAATATTCACGAAAAAGTCTTCTTTCTTCAATCCACGCCCAGATAAATCCACCTAGAACGAGGAGAATATGAGAAACAGAGATTCAAGAAAAACGTTATTCCTGTATGCGAAGCGAGGAGGAAATGAAAGAAAATTTTAACAGCGTCTAGTTTCTGCAACGTCGACTTTAGAGAAGGCGGGAAGAAACGAATTATGGCGCGCCATTATGTCACAGTAAGTGTCGTTGCAATTCAAAATTTGAAATCACAGTAATGTAAGGTGATGCGAAAATGATCATTAAATTATCATCGAACGATTAAAATGATGTTATTGGTGTCGGTTATTGCAACGGTAGATATTGCAACAATAAATAACGCACAGTTTAAACTTCTAAATTGCAACGTATCGCACGCAAGTGCATGCGTGAAAGAGATTACGCGAATGAGCGATATACGCATCTGGGGGGGGGCGACGTTATAAAAATTGTCACCAAATGGCCTGCGAATAGTTATCAGGTCGAATGTCAAAAAGTCACGTGTATAAACCCACCAACTTCGAGTTCGTGGTAACAATTAGGACGAGGATAGTGATAGTCCCGAGCCACATTGTCCAGGTGGTACACTAAATATACACGATGGAATTTCGATTTCGTTTAAATCGATCACACCGGGACCGACTAGTTTCAACTATGCCTCTCACACAACGATCCGTTGGAATGGCAACGAATTCATCCGCGACATACTCTGCTCACGATTACAGTGCCGAATTAAGAGGGGATCAGGAGGGGCTTCGGCATCCTGATGCAGTTGTTTGACCGCGCTGCAACTTACAATATATATCGTTCAGCGATATTCAGATCACTCGTGTTTTTCTTATACTTTGAGATTTTAGTTTTGTAAATTCTTGTACAATTAACAGATTTCTTTTTACACTGCACAGAGAGTAATATTCGCGTACGACGAATTTGATCGAAAGTAGAAAAAAAAAAAAAAAAAGAAAAGAAAAAACAGCTATGCGTTCGAAGATTTCAAATTATTTGATACTTAGCCAAAAATGCGAATTATTTAATTTTCTCCACAATTGTTACACAGCTTTCGTTCTGTATGTTAGTCAAAATTTGTCATCGAATTTCCTTCGACCTTTGCACCATTTCTTTTGTAAAAGGTAATTTGTAATTTTCTATTTCAAATTTCTTAATATTATGATCACGTGTTAATTAAACGGTGTAATTGATGAAATATAAAATCGTTCGAGTATCCTTCAGAATGAATTCGCAGGGCGCGCGCCGAGTTAATCCGTTCCCGACCAGTTCAGAATCCGAGAGGCTAACGCACCACTTTTTCGATAAAGCGAGATTACGACCCCGATCCACTCTTATGCTCTGCGGTGTGTTTGCTTTTTCCCTCTCAGGTCTTTTAATCGCGTATTTTTTCAATTAATTTACACTCTCACCACGATATCGCGTGACGAAACTCACGACGGGATAATTAAAAAACAGGAAATAAAAACGAAGAAAAAAAGAAAAAGAGATGGAAGTAGGTAAAACGAAAATAGGAATGATTAAAATGATGCGACAATTAACCATTGCATTCGAATGCACGACTGATATTATTCGACGGAAACGTTGAAGCATATCTGGCTATCAGCGTCATGATAAACTCTGCACCAGTAAGCAATTTAACTACTAACTAAATATGCAATTAATATAAAGTAGAATGTCTTTTTTATTTCATATTCGTGATTATATTTATTTTATATTCGTGATTAGCTCGTTTTTGGTAGATCTTTATCCTTCTTCTTCTTTTTCAAATTCAACATCTCATTACTGTTTCTTTTTTGTATTGGAAATAACGTTCGAATATCTTTATTAGATTATTCCAAGTTGTAATTATAGAAATATATAGAATCGTTTAATAAATTATTTTTTTAAATCAAGAATTCTATAGTTATAGTATCACGTTTAAGTATCTACTTCAGTTAATTTACGTCATCAGTGATGAATATTGATCATTGATAGGATTTAGCTTATTAAGGAAATATAGGAAATGAGATTAGCATACAATATTGGTTCTTGCAAAATTAGTTGTGCGAATATAACATAACTGATACAGCTTAAGAGTCAGGCATTTATTCAACGATATCGTGTTCATGCTAAGAACGAATTATTGCCGTCAAGACATGTGATATACTATAATAACAAATATTTCAATATTTTTAACGCGTATACGATAACAATGGCAAGAGAGTCGTTCACTTTTTCGGAGTTTGAGGCGTGCTTGTCGCTTTAAATACCAATGGATTTGATACTCGGAATATGCTCGGTAACATTGTGGCTAGGGTACCAAATACTTCTTCTGACATTCCCTAGAAAATATAAATTTGTGTAAAAAAAATATCTGAATAGGCAGGGCAATCATTTATTCCATTATACTTTTATGAATCAAATTAAATCACCTTTGGTACTAGAAATTGTAGATTCTTTAACTCAGCGCCACCCCAAGATGCCATTTCTATCATGAATCCTTTAACGCATTTGAAAACTAGTTCTGCCCGTTTTGTACACCATGCAACAGTCATATCCTAAGATAATAAGACAAAACTTACTTATTTAAACATTTCTAAAGAACTTTTTTTTTTAAGCGAAATATACCTCGGACATTTCATGAACGAGAAGTATAGGAATTGTTAGCGTTGTTACATCGTTGCAACAAGCAGTTTTCAAAATGTTTCGCAATCCTAAAATGACCGAGTGCCTCGAATTAATATCGCCTGTAAATTTAGCAAAAACTCTTGTCAACATGAAGAATCTACATCTCAGAAAATATCTATTACTCACCAGATCGCAACGAATCGTTTACAACCATATGGAAAATTACATGCACTTGCGCTAAATTTGAATGCCTCGTAATATAAACATCGCCTGTTTGCAAACTTTTACTACCCGTTGACCTTTTTGTCTATAGAAAAAATACGTTTAGAATGAATTGCAAAAGCAATATATAATCCTTTACAATTCTAGTTTATTTCTGCTTACTTGTGAATCGTTTCCTTCTCTTTGATGTGCTTGCCTCCAGGCAACAGCATCCTTCACATCTTCTCGAATTTTCTCCAATTGTTCATCGATGGGCGGGAAATGAAACTCTGTCGTTAATTGACATATTGAACATAACTCTGAAAATAATTTGATTTTTAATTAAATGCAATTGAACTGTAGCTCTTATTAATTTTCATATGCAAGAAAATAACGTGATACCTTTCGTTATTCCCGAGTAACTTCCTAAATGATTGTCACTTAGCAGTACTAATCCACACAAATCATTAGAATATAATCCTAGAGCAGTCTGTAGTCTTTGAGGCGTTGGATCCATTCTATTTTGAAACGAATGAAATACTTTCATTACCTTCATATTGAATTTAAATACAAAGTAGTCAGTACTTTTTTTTCTAATTTACCAACCCAGAGTCGCTCTTTTTTGTTCTACAAAAGTCTAAAACATCGCCAGTGAGTATACGTATATTGTGCATCTGTTTCATCTGAGAACCCAAATGTATGGTAAAACTTTCCTCCAAAATAGGATATTCGGCCGTATTCTTCTCTTCGCTATGAACAAAATTGTCTAATGCCGGTCGTATCGGTGGCATCGATAATATTGGTGAACCCCTAATAGTCATATGATCTATTACTATCATATCCATATCATGCTTCTATTTATTTTATTTATAGAAACGTACACTGGAGTTGGTAACATATTGGTCTGTTGTTCTTCGAGTAACCTCATGATCCAGTTACGATATTGTCGCCTTTGATCTAATTTCAATGCGTCGACTCTTGATCCCCAGTGACCTTGTAATAAACTTTGTTCCTCAAAATGTCGTCCCGCCATTTCGTTTATAGATTTTTCTGTAGAACCAGCCTCAAGAGATTCTACAGCAACTCGCATTTCCTCAGTTTGCCTGCAATGCATTTTGCTGACATTTTCCTATATCCTTTGTTTTTTCTCTCACATTTATAAAATAACAAGTTAATGATGTTTCAGAAACAATATTGGGTCAATTGTATTTGCGCAATTATAAGTCAAAACAACAATATTAAAATTGTAGAAAATTATAATTGAAGCTATACTGTTATTTGCGTTAGACACAGAAATGTTAATTGCATTCCAGTTATTATAGACGATATTCATGCATATTAATATGATTGAGATAGAGATTGGTTCATTATAAAAAATGATCATTGATTTATATAAAAATTACTAATAATCTATATAGAAAGGTCAATGCAAGCGATAAATATATCACTTATAACAATAAATTGCTTTGAGTAGATATTAGTATACAGATTGCATTTTTATTTTCTAGTACAATGTATAAACACAAGAGTGTAAGAAATATATACAAAAAATTCTTTACAATGTGGTAAAATATTGCTACTAACTTTTGAGTAAGTTGCTCATAGTGAGAATCTCTCATTTGAATAACTTCAGTTACATCTCTTCCAAATTTATGTTCTGCTTGAAGAATGGGTTCCAGTGATGGAGAATGTACCAATTTGTGATATGCAGCAGCAAATAATTCTTCATCTGTTGTTCCAATAGGATCAGCATATTCTGCTGTCTTTTGCTTGTAGGTTTTTTCCCAATTTTTTATAATATCTTCAATATCCAGATTTCCTGATATTGTATCTTCAAGAGCTTTTTCTGCTTTCTCATCATAAAATTCTAATGTTAGTGTTTTAATAGCATGCTCCAATGATTGCAATAGATCTGATTCTACATAGCATGGTAACTTAAAAGATGACATTATACGGTACATAAGTTCTTTCACATTTCCACCATATGGTATCTTTAATGGTACTTCCAATACATATTCTTGATTTGTAGTACATGTTGGAAATTTATATATAAATGTTTTCTCTACAAATTCGTCCTCAGGCATATTCATATCTTCTATAATAGTTTTTCATTATATTTGCAGCCCAGATATCTTTATTACACATAAAAAGTCTCTAATTAGTTTCTAAAGATATTAAATAAAAAAAAGATTAATTTAATTTAATGTTTAATACTTAAAATATCAGCAATAATGAATATAAATTAAATTAATCACTAAATAATAAAGGTATAAATTAGACATGATATTATAGCATATCGTTATAAATCCTTGATTATTATGATTGACAAAGGTCAAGCTTATTTTTTTATAGTCAATATTTTGCAGAGGTCAGGTTTCAAAACATTCAGATCATAAGGTCAACGATAAGCTATAGAAATAACTCTGATTGCACCTTTTATCTATCTACACTCTATTAAAAACAATTATTATTTTAATGTATTAATTGTAATGGCTTTTGGATAAACTTTGTTATCAAACGCGCATAAATTTGAGATTACACTTGTAAAACAGCCAATTAAAAATATGCAAAAAAAATTTTAATGCAATCAGAAGTTTTTATAGTAAAACTCATTATCAAACATTTTGAAGAGTATTTTACGCCGATTCGTGTACAAATTATTTGAAATACATATAATTTTCAATTTTTATTACCGATTATAAGGATGCTAGCAGAAAGATTTTTGATGGTTTATGAATAATTTGAAAAACATATTAAGGAGTAATGATTTAAAACTATAGCAACATTTGTTTTGGACTTTTATGCAATGTTAATTTAAAAGTAAATATAAAGCAGCAGATCGCATTGAACTGACATCTGTTATATTTCTCTACTTACAACCTAACCTTAAAAATTATATTTTAATAAAAATGTTCATACTATTTTCATAGTTTGTCAGTGATTCTTGCCTTGTCATTTGGAAAGATTGCTTCTGTTTTGTTTTAAATAAAACATTCTAAACGAACAGATGAAACACACAATACTTGTAAAAACTTTTTAACGCCCTTCTGTGATTTGATCAACAGTTCATCCAACTTAAACATCATTCATGTTGTTTAAGTAACATGGCCCTTATTACCTTATATTTTAAACATATAGAATTGACAAAGAACATTTCGTTGTGCAAACTAATTGCATTAAATATTATAATTTACCAATTACTGAGCGGTTGTCGTTTGTTTCTATTATTTATATTAATATATTGTTACGTTGGCTACACTTTGACTGCAAGCGTCGGCAAAATTTTAGAACGTGATTTTGGCGGTTGCACATTTTTAAATATTATTTAAAATTTTTTAACATGGTCGAAGACAAAAATCAAAACGTAGAACTAACAGATCATGAAGCTGAATTATATGATAGACAAATTCGATTATGGGGTTTAGAATCACAGAAACGGCAAGTACAGTCTAATCTAACCTAGAAATTTTGAAACATAAATAAATTTTATTTATTATATTATTATTATTATATGAATAAAGTTTTTATGTATATGTATTTAGTATACAAATAATATACATATAAATGTTCAATTTAGATTGACGTGCAATATTAAACAATTGTAGATTACGAGCAGCGAAAATTTTAATAATAGGCTTAAATGGATATGGAGCGGAAATAGCAAAAAATATTATTCTAGCGGGTGTTAAAGCAGTTACATTTTTGGATCATAGGAATGTAACAGTTGAGGACTGGTGCTCACAATTTTTAGCACCTAAAGAATCACTCGGAAAAAATGTACGTATATAGATTTGAATATAGGATGGTGTATTACTTATATGGAAATTTTGTTTATAGAGGGCTGAAGCATCTGTACCAAGAGCACAAAATTTAAACTCTATGGTTGATGTAAAAGCAGATACATCTAATATCGATGATAAGCCAGATACATATTTTAGTGAGTTTAATGTAGTTTGTGCAACACAATGTACGATTATGCAAATAAAAAGGATTAACGAGGCATGTAGAAAACACAATGTCAAATTTTTTGCTGGAGATGTATGGGGATTGTTAGGGTATACTTTTGCTGATTTAATGACTCATGAATATGCCGAGTAAGTTGAGTTTCAAACTAGATTTCTAGCAGTTGTTTATTGTAAATCTGTTATTAAAACTCTGTTTTACAGAGATGTAGTACAAACAAAAAAAATACAAATCTCAGACAGTGGTGAACCAATGCAAAAGGAAAAATTTGAAAATATAGTTGTAACTGAAAAACATATAGAAACTTTTGTACCTTTTAAATCAATTTTAAATGTCACAAAATCTTCTCTTCCCAAAGATTCAGAAATATACTATATGATATTAAGTAAGTAAGGGAAGATTTTTATAATGATGTATTTAAAACATTTTTACATTATTTATTCTTATCTGTAGTAATGTTCAATTATCGCGAGAAGTATGGCAAAGATCCATTACCTAGTGAGAGGGAGTCTGAAAAATTAAAAGCAGAGGCTGATATAATTATAAAAAAGTATGATCTCGAGGATAAAATAGATCATTTAATTGAGTATGTATTAGAAAAAATGTTATATTATTTAAAAAATTTAATTTTTAATATTGAAAATTACATGGTGAAACTTATTATCGGTTCAGGAGTGATTTATATGCGCAAATTAGTCCAGTGTGTGCCATCGTTGGAGGCATTATGGGTCAAGAAATAATTAAAGCTGTCTCACAAAAAGGTACTCCACACAATAATTTGTTCACGTTTAATCCAGATACATTGTGTGGAAAGATTTTGAGATTGGGCCACTAATAATAATTATGGTACGTCTAAGTATTTTTTTGTACTATGATTGACACGATTATTTTCATAATTTCTCATTCTATGTTTCCCATCATAAAAATGAAATAAAGTTGTTCAAAAACAAAAGAGAGATACTACTGTTTTACAGCGATCTTCCTTTATGCACTATTCTCTATTGTGTCATTGACGTGCTGTCAGAAATTCTTTATATATTCATATCAGGAAAGAGTATATCTTGGGTCTTTCCTGGCATTTATTTTCGATTTACGAAAATTCTTTTTCGACTCGATTTCGTTTATTTCGAATTACGTTGTGCTTCTTATATTCCGCTTCAAAACCGAAAAGAACGTATCGCCCGAGTTTTGAAGCTGTGAAAGCTATGAAATATATGTGAATATATGTTCCGATATGTTCTTTCTTTCTGAAGCATATAAATGTTCAGTGCACACGTTTTGTTGGTATAAATGTGGTTTATCACAGTTTGTATACGTACCAAGATATTTTTGTTCACCGTGTTCGATCCTCAGGAACGAAGGGGTCGTCGCGCGTACGTGAAAATATGACTCACTTTCCCGGCTTCCGCCGGGGCAATTTGAGACCCGCTTTGCGGATTTTTTTCGTGTCCTCTCGCGTGGAAAACGCGGTGGGAAACGTGAAATGGAAATTGAAAAATTGGAAAAGGGGGAGTCGAGCTGGAGCATGGCTCGTTATGCTTTATCGGCTCGCCCGATATTACGTTCGTTGCCGCGACAATCTTTTTTTATGCTTCGACATTATTTAAAACGTTGTACCCTTTCGTGAAGCCTTCCTGATGAAATCCCATTATTTTTCAATGTTCAGGTTTATCTTGTGAGAATCTCAATGGAGCTTCAAATTAAATATCACTATACATAGGGTGTTTTAAACATTAAAATAATGGAAAAAGCATCAATTATAGTTTATTTTTTAAGAACAATTTAATTTTTTTACTCTTACTTTATTGTATCTATTTATCAATTACTCTGATATATATGTCTCAACCTTTATTTTGATGATTTTTGTTTCTTTTTCAGATATTTTATTCTATTAACACTTATCTTATTCAATACATAATAATATACTTGAACAACAACATGAAATCTGATAAGTACATGTAGATAATTTATTTAACATCAAGCCACACCGTTGTACGATTGATTCTACATTGAACAATTGCCTTCGCGCGAAATAAATATCATTCTTGCTCCGTTATCCGCGTGTATCAACGTTGTACGTAGGCGTCCGAGAATTGATTCGATTTTCACCGAAGAATTATGACGTATCATCTTTCCCCATGAACACGATGTCGACGTTGCGTATCCCAATGATCATCGTGCACGGTCGCATGTAAATGCGAGGGACTTGCACGTAAAACGCTTATCCGCCTCGCGTACCTCCTCCCCGAGTTGCAGGTACTTACAAGCGTGTACCATCGTGTTCCTTAACGATGTGTCCACGTGCTTTCACGGCTGTCGAATTATCACGGGGCGCTTTCATTCGCGTGTCCCTCGCTCGTTGAAAAACCATTAACTCGAACCGAAACTCGTACACGAAACGGTCACCCTTGCTCCTCTTAATTCGCGTTGGTACGCTCCTTCGCGTTTCCTCCGCTGGTTTAGGGGGAGGTTGAACAGCTACGTGACTGATCTGCCGTCACGTATCCACGAGCACGACCAATTGTGTTGACTGGTGATTTATAAATTTAATAGTCCACCGTCATTCTGGCGGAAACGAGTCTGCCCCGGGCTCGAGAATTTCGTCAGTGTGACAGATAAAAAGTTCCGTCGTTGCGAATGGCACCCTACGAAAAAAAAAAAAAAAAAACGGGCGGCGATTGTTTCAGTCGTCGAGCAAGGGATTTAATTCGAGCACGTGTGAGAGTTTATCACTGGATTAACAAAAAAAAAAAAAAAAAGAATTACGGAATTTGATCAGTTAAGTTGCTGGTTCCTGACTAAAATAATTATAGAATCGATTTCTAAGTGAAAAAGTTCTAGAATTCTAATTACTAATTCATCGTAGGAGGTAAGATTTATACGCTTGATTTTTAATTAAAAAATCTTTCGATTAATTGATTCATAGAATCGAAGGATCCGATATTTAAGTAAAAAAAAAAAAAAAAAATCGATCAGCGTGTAAAGTTTTATGGTCGTTCAGCTTTAAATGAAAAGATCGTGGAATTAACCAGTTTGTAGACGGTAATTTGGAGAAGCTTATGGGTCGTTGGTTTAACATTCTAGTACGAAATCGTGTAGCTTGTGTAGCTGTTATCGATGCAATGGTACGGTTTTATCGCGAGAACATTCGCCGGGTTTGCGTATCAGCGTCGTGGAGAACGGCTCGGCTTGGCTCGGCTCGGTCGTTCTAAAATATGATCGACCCGCGCAACAATTTACTCGCGATATTATCTCATGGAAAATAGGCTAGAAGACGTAGAAGTACTTCCCGTGAGTCAGGTAAGGAATTTACCGGGACTACTGTCACAGTCGCTGCGCCGTGCATTCATTGAATCAATACGACACGTACGCCTTTAGGAATGTTAAATGACTGGCGGAGGAGCAAAGAGGAACGCGTGTTTCATTTCCACCGATATGCCCGTTTCAATGTTCCACCGAATTGCTCGTTAAAACGAGATTATCGTCACGCGAATGCGTCTGAAGGATTTCATTCTTGACAATCTAACTTTATAATTTTCAGTCTACGATATTACGACCTCTATACTTTTAATCCATTCGTTCCTTTCGTACGAGTTCTTTTACGACTGTTTATTTTACGTTTCTATTGGTTGGAGGAATATCACTTGCGATTTTATAAGCGGTTTTAAACATTCTGCTCTCTTCTTAGTGCCTTTTATTCTAACTTCAAAGCGAAAGTGAATGTTGTTATAATTGGATCGATGCGAGCGGGTCTAGTTACTTCTAGTCTTACGACGTGTAATAACGTAATTTCATCGACAAATGAATATAATTATATGAAAGATGAACGAACGTTTTGTCAGTCCAATTTGCCACCAAGTTTCAAAGAGTTTTATAAAGTGTATTTCAGAATTTCTAATACGGGCATAAACTTGATTTGTCGGGGAGGGCACTCTCCACCGTAGACGAAACAGAGAAAAAGAGAAATATCACTACCAAAAGGAAGACGAGGGAAGTCAGGGTGCGCCCTTCACACATCGCGGCTGCTCACGTTGATTTATGATGCGACGAAAATTATTGCCGCTGTTAAAATACCTCGAAGCGTGTTTATTGACAGACACGCGTTTGCCTCCGCTGGCTGTTCGTGAAACAAGGCGGCTCTCGAGACGACAGGACTGTCCTTAAGACGACTTTAAACGGCGGCTGTAAAGCTCGCCGGTAGAAACGGATCGTAAGGATACCGTTTTCACCAGAAACGGGCCGCGTTTCTTCCAAATATGCAACTTTAATGGCTTTCCATCGAGGCTTCCGGTCGTTGAGGTCCAAGCTTCCGAGCATTTTAAAGCATTCCGACCGAACAGAGTGCTCTCGCACGTGATCACCCAACTCGCTTAGCGAGTCTTTTATCTCCATTTCAATCTTAGTTCCAATAATCTTTCATTTTTAATCTTTGATACGAGAGTATGGTAGAGGTTTACCTACGAGACAAACTGTTACGAGTTTATAATATAATTCTTTATGAGAAACTTGGGACTCTGCTCGAGAACTTCTAGAATATTCAGAGTTGTTTAAGTTTGGCATACACATAACTTTAAAGAGAACTTTTCAAATGTTCTGGGATTGAAAACGAAATTAAATTAAGATCCGTGTATCTGTTTTCGAGGAGAGATTCATTGGCAATTCTATAGTTTTTTAAAGCAAGAGTAAACGATTGATCAGAGCAAAACTTTTGTACGATAACGTTACATTCGTATCGCAGTCAGAGTTAAATTGCGAAGGTAAAAATCATAATAATAATAATAATAAATATTATTAATATTAATAACAAAGCATATTATCACTTTCTGATAATTTTCAGATATATTGCCAAAAAAATTTGTCAGAAAATCCCTTCACCTAAGAACGAATGCGACGCCCGACGTCCGTGACTCGCGATTTCAAGCGTCGTCGGCGTCGTGGGCGACTAAAATTAACCTTTCCGGCAACAACCCCTACGATCTTCCGTGCAAACATGCAACGGGGATCGCCGGTGTGTTCGTCGCCGCGCTAAATCGTCCGTGCTTGTAATATTCGGGCAAAGGATCGGCGGCGGCAAAAATTGCGTACGTGAGGCAACTGCTTACGGCTTCGTTCGTTTACTAGCCGCATCCTATTTATACCAAATCGCCGCAATGTTTCTTCTTTATCAGTGTCTTATTGTCTCTACGTATCCGCGGTTTATTAACTTCTTTCGTGAGAGAAAGAACAGAGCCGTTTTCTCCAAGTTTCGTTTCCCCGACTTTGTCTCGCCTTTTCACGAAGTTAAGCTGTAATATGCTTAAATTTAAAGACGTATAGGTTGTATATAATTTAAAAAATTTTTTCAATGAATCTCATTCGATCCCAAGGAAAGTTACAGTAGTGGAAACAATCTCGAGGTCACTTTAGTACACACGCAGGACTGAAAATCATAGTAACGTGAATGTAGCTTTCGTAAATTATAGAAATATAAAATTTTCTCGTAAAAATATAAAACGTAGTTCTACGGTTATTATACGTGTATTTCTTCAGGTTATGAAAACGTACGTGCGTTTCTCTTCAAGTTATGAAAACACATACATCGACGCACACGTATTCCTTCAAATCACTGAAGTTATGAAACTTCAAACTTTCAAAAATGAAAATTTCAGGTTCACGGCGGGGAATAGCGTTACTTAATTACGAAGTCAGAGGAACGACAATTTCGAATATATATTACGAAACTTCGATTTTCTCGAAATCTTGATTCACGCTCAACTATGATCTTCGGACCTCCATGTTATACCATTTGTCCGGTTTGGAGGGTTGAAAAAGTGTCTTCTCAGGAAGAAAGTGTGCGTAGGCGAAACTTCGCGAGCGAAGCCGACAAAGGAATGCGTAAAATGCTTTCATGGCGGGTTTTTTTGACCGCGTACGGAGGTAATATT